GCCCACAGAACCGAACATGGCACCCCAGATGTGGAAGACCAGGGCAGAGGGCAGTGGATACGACTCCCTCTCTCCTCCTCCCCCTAAACTGGGCAGCATGCTTCTCTCCATGCAAGCTGAGTTAGCACAGATGCTAAGAAGAGCTTCCTAAAACTCGGGGCTGATCTTCTCTCCCTACCCAAGAAGCTTTGCTCACTCCCTCTGGCCTCTTGGGTCAAATGCACCTCGGCATCCGAAGCCCTTTGTCAACTGGCTCCGACCCATCTCTTCAGGCTGACTCCCCATTAGTGCCCTCATTCAGTCCCTGTTCTGGCCACCCTGGCCTGCGTTCTGCTCGCTGCATGTCTGCAGCCTTCCCTCTGCCCCTCTGTGGCCGAGGGCCCCACCACTAGAAGGCCCTTGCTCCCTCCTCCCCTCAGCCTTGCAGCATCCCGAGGTCCTTCAAGGCTCTGCTCAGGCTCGCCTGCAAAGCACACTACCTGCTCCTCCTGGGAGGCGCTGTTCCCCGCCCCAGCAGGTGTAGACATTTGTATACATTTTGTACTGACTTCTCTATGAAAACGTCTCACCTCCACCTAGCGTAAACTCCTCCAAGGCAGGGAGTGTTTCATTTTTGTCTGGGAGCCCAGCGCCTCCAGCAGGGTTTGACACACGGATACTTAATCAGCGCTCGGAATTGAATTGAGTTAGGTTTTTTGTTTGCATTATCACACCACTGATGCATGCTGAGCTTGCAGTCCACTTGTTCTCCAGATCTTTTTCAGACAAACTCTTGCCCAGTCACACCTCCCTCATTTTGTGATTTCGTGTTAGTAGATTTGGCCAACACTCCACCTTTTGGAAGGTGGAGCCAGATAATGACAACGTGCTGCCTTTTATGAGCGGGTCATCTGTCATGGTGATGTGTCGGCTGTCGTGATAACACATCTTCCAGAATGATGATGCGCTGGCTATCACGACAAAGTGCCAGCTATCAGGACAGTGCACCAGCTATTATGGCAATCCGTCAGCGAGCAATACGTCACCATGACAATGTGCCAGCTGTCAGGACAATGTGTGTTGACCATCATGAAAATGTGCCAGTTACTATGCCACTGTACCAGCTATCATGACAATTTGTCGGCCATCACGACAATATGCTGGCTATTGCGGCAGCATGTTGGCTCTCTCTCCCCCTCGGGCCATTTCCTGCCTCAATGGACTCTCATCTCCTATGCCTGGAACACACTCTCCTCCTCTCTGCCTTTCCAAATCCTTCTGTTCCTTCAAACTTCAGCTGAACCGCCACGTTCTCTATAAAGCCTTCTGTGATCCTTCCACTTGGAAATGCCCTCTCTCTCATCTTATCTCCTACTTTTCAGTTACATTTAGCCATTTACTATGTTTGAAACTGTATTTTTTTATACATAAGTGCATAGGTTCTAAAGCTAGAAGGAATTTCAGGGGTCATTTAGTCCAATGCTCATGCTCCCCAGGTAGGAAAACTGAAGCCCAGGGAGATTCCCAAAGAAGGAAATAATTTAGGTCATGACAGCAGGTCCTTTCTCCTCCACCCCCCACCACCAATGGAGGGATCAACTTCTAGCTTTTCCCCAACATAAATACACCAGGGTAAAGAACCAAAAAGCGGCTGATGTGGGGCTGAATACCTTACCAGCTCTCAGGCGCCAAGGGACAAAGCCAAAAAAATCTTTTTTTGTGGTAGACATAAAGCAGCGCCCCGGAGAGACTTTTGCCCCTGGGACAGGAAGAACATTTTCAAAAAGAAAAAACCGGAGTTGCCAGAGGCAACAGGATGTTCACTCCCTTCTCAGGCAAGATAATGGCCCTACTGGGGGGAGGCCAACTTGTTCCTAATTGGTTCTTCCAAAGGGATGCTGGCGGCTTTGTCCAACTGTCTCTCTCCACCTCCCTTTTGGGTCTCTCTGGAAACCATGAGGCAGAATGTTCTTGCTTCTCAATTGATTTGCATCAGGCCTCTCGTTCCAGCTCCTCACCAGCTGCCGGCCCGCTCTCGGCTGCTTTCAGGTCACAGCAGGTTCTGGGTGCAGTAACGATGTCACCCGATTTGCTTTGAGAGTTGGAGAGTTAGAAGAGTTGGACCTCAATAATCAGCTCATACGACCTAGGTGGTATCTGTTGGCTTAACTTGTGGTGGAAAACCTTTCTCCTCAAAATGTAATCAGGACATCAGGGAATTCAGCCTGATCTGTGTGCTGGAAGGGAGCTCTGAGGGGCTTTGGAAACCAAGGAAACAGCATTCCAAAGAACTGTTGGAGTACGGGGGCTCACTGCCCCCTTCACTGCCTGAGCTTTCCAGCCTGTGCCCAGGCCAGTCTTCGAAATCCCCTGGGAGGTCAAGTGGGAGAAGAGAGCTACTCAGCAGGGCTGCCCATCTCTCCCATTATACAGACAAAGAAACTGAGTCCCAGAGAGGGGGAGGGATTAGGGGCACAAAGGTAGAAAATGGCAGAGTCCAGATTTGAATTCAGGTCTCCTAATCCTAGGTCTAGGGCTCACGACTCTGCTACATTGCTCTGAGTGAATTGGTCAAATTATTCTTTGGAAGACAAAGAAAGCTTCCTGTGTGCATTAAACGTAAAGGTGGCTCATCCTAACCCCAGATTGGCATTGAATAAAGGTGGAGCACTATGGGTGCAATGCACTGCAATACAAGGTCAAATAGAGCCGGTGCCTTGGTTTTGCTGAATTGCTTTTATCCCCTTCTTTCTTTTTAATTTTTATTACAAGGTATGAGTGAGGAAGAGAGAGAGAGAGAGAGGGAGGGAGGGAGGGGGAGGGAGAGGGAGAGGGAGAGGGAGGGGGAGAGGGAGAGATTTGGAATCAGAGGTAACAAAAACAAAACAATAAAATAAAATAATTTTTAAAAACTTGCAATTAATAATAGGCTGCAGAATGCCCAAGGAAATGCTATAGCAGATGTCAGGGTAGCTGGCTGTAATGATATATGATCTCAGGGCAATGAAATCTTCTTTTACTATCTTCTCACCAATCTCAGACTTTAGATCACAGACTCACAGAATATCAGAGCTGGAAGAGACCTTAGAGATAGTCTAATCTGAAGTTAAAATCCAGCCTCAGACACTTACTATCTGTGTGACCCTGAGAAAGTCACTTGACCCAGCCTCAGTTTCCTTATCTGAAAAATGGGGATAATAGCACTTACCTCACAGAGTTGTTGTGAGGATCAAATGAATTAACATAAATAAAGTATTTTGGAAGGCTTAAAGTGCTATATAAATGCTGGCTATCATCATCATCATCATCATCCTAACCAAAATATTTTGATAACTATTTCAAAATAATTGGATTCCTTCGTAATCCAATGGATTTTAGTTTAAAAGCATGATGCTGAGAAGGGGTCCATGGCACCCAGAAGTGAAGTAAAGAACCTCCGACCTGGGCCACTCTGTCTCTGAGCATGGGTGCCATCTACCCCTCTCCTACCAGTGCTGTCCAGCCTTTGCTCAAGGACTTTGGGTGATGAAGGTCCCACCATCTTTGGAGGCACCCATCCCACTTCCTCACTGACTCTAGAGGAGTCCATCCTGCTTCCCTGCCACCTCTGGAGGCTCCGTCCCACTTGGGGCGGCTCTAATCACTAGGAACTTTCCTTTTAAACTGGCCCTACACTGTCCTCTTTGCAGCATCTATGGAGTTCTAGTTCTCCCATTGGGGCTAAACAGACCAGCCTCTTCCCTCCGCCGCATGATGGCCCATTAAAGGCTTGGAAGCCGGCCATCCCAGAGGGCTGAAGTCTCCTTTTACAGACATCTGTCCCACCCCCCACTCCTCTTCTTGTTGGAGAAGGAAGCACTTTGGTTCTCGCCCAAATATTCACCATTGTGCTCCCAGCTGTAGTTCCTGGCTTTCCACACATGTCCATCTTCAATGCAGCCCTACCCCCCACTCTTTTCATTAAATCTGTTGTTGTTTCAGGTCATGGGATACCCTTCCATTACCATATTCTATTCACAAGTCCCATTTCACCATGCTTTGGTAGGTGATAGCTGTGAACGCACATTCACCTGCTTGTTTTAAAATTTCAGGGTGACTTTGCTTATTACAGTTCTCTCTTCCACACCATGGGGGTTAGGGGCTTGGAGCCCCCTCGATCTAGAAAATCCACATAAAAGTTTTTGGCCCTCGCTTTGTACCAGAGGTCTGAATTATTATGGTATTGAAAGATAAACTATATTGATATTATATAACACTATACATGTATTTTATGAATTTCTGAGTTTTTAAACTTTTTCTGTGTTGTCTGCTGGCCTTGTCATGTCATCTGCAGCTTCCACAAAACTCCCCCTCAAGTTCCCATTTAATTCCTTATGCTGACCTTCAATACATTGAAACCACGATGGGGAAAGTCTTGATGTGGAAGGTAAAGCTGTAGTGCCTAGCACAGTGCCTGGAATACAGTAGATGCTTAATCATTGCTTACTGAAAGACTGATAAACTGCCTACTAACCACCCTCTTTGCATGGTTAGACAGACATCTGAGGCCATAAGCATTTTTCTCAGTCTGCTCCTAAGAAGCGGCACCTTCTCCATTATCTTTCCCCTTAAATGCCAATTTCGTGGTTCTACAGAATCTGGCTTTACAGTTTCCCCCAAGCATTTTCCCTTACTCTCCTCATTTCTGTTTAAAGCCCATTTCTTGATGAGGTTTGCAGTTCTCTTGCTTTCTGGTGTCCACAAAAATGGACTGTCTCTTTGTAGAGGTTCAGCCTTTGGATATTGTGAGCTATGCTCCAATCTAGACACACCAAAGGCTGAGATTGAGTATCGGAAGGGCATCAGGGTCTTCACAGAGCACCCCACCCCCACCTTAAATGGGAGGTCTGCTCAGAATATTTACTCAAAAATTTCATTCACTGTTTGGTTTAACACTTTACCAGGGAAATGGGGATGAGTCCAAGACCTCGTGAAAACCCCCAAAGCTCTGACAAGCCACATGGAAACCCCAACCACCATGGTGCTGTTTGCAACTCGATTTATTCTTTTTGGTACCCAAGGAGACTCCAGTTTACTGTCACCATTAGCTCCATCTTGAGTTGGAACATTCCCAACAGAAAACAGCAAAATGTGTGAAAGCAATAAATATTAAACCATCTGATCTAAAAGGTATAAATATAAAACGTCAGTTCTGAAAACATCTTAAGAAAATCTGGCAGCTGCGTATCCACGGGGGCAAGGGCATCTGTCTGGAATGCCGTCTGTCTTTGGACTTCATCACCTCAGGTCCAGCACTGTGATGCTTATGTCTTGGCCCACCACATGTTTGCATGTCTAGGGGAGAGAGCAATTTGTTAAAGGCTGAAATATCTGAGTAGGTAAATATTCTTTTAACATTTATCACCTGATCTTATCTGCACTGAACCCTGGGTTTTGACCCAAGAATGACTCATTAACAGGCTGGTTTTCATTAGAGGGGTAAAAGTGGAAGAGGAGCGAGTATGATGAGGGTGTTCTCCTTATAACCACTAGAAATAAAAGCTATACCACTTATTTCTACCAAAAGAAGGGGCAGGGGGAAAACAGAGGCAAAGTATGATGAGGAGGAAAGAGCCTGGAGTGAAATGGCTTGGGTAGGGGTTGGTATTCCACCTGAGCAGTGTTAGCAGATGTGTCTGTGCTGACCAGATGGAGTTCCGTAGTGGAGGGCCACCTCCATCAACCCGAGATTGCCCCAAATCACAAAGGAGCAGAGGGGCCATGAAAAGAATGATAGCTCTGGGGGCGTCAGCTTGGCCCTGGGCTGTTTGGCATTCTTATTAGCGAGTTAGATAAAAGCATAAACTGCACAGTCCTCCGATTTATGGATGACCCCAAGCTGAGATGGACAGTATGGAAGACAAAGTCAGGATCCGAAAAGATCTCTACAGGCCACTGGTCTGGGACAGGTACTGGACCTGTGATTTTATTGGTATAAGGAACTCCCAGGGGAGGACACTCCCTCTACCTCTGCAAGCCAGCACCTTCTCTGCATCTTAGAGAGTGGCTGAGAGCACTAACTTGCTCAGGGTCACACAGCCAGAGAATCGGAGGCAGGGATGGAAGCCAGGTCTTCATGCTTTAAGGCCAGCTCTCTACTATGACACGCTTTGGATTAGAACTAAGTCTGTTATTCTGTGGTCTGAGGACAGCATTGCTCAGAGGGCGTGGGTAGGCTGTGCTGGGGGTAATAGGGACCTCAAGTAATTTGATATGTAAATAGCTCTCAGATTCTCTAAACATAGGAATGGAAAGGCTGCCCAACACAACACCAAAGCAACCAGAAAAAGGGGAGAAATGTGGTCAAGAAACTGATTGGTTTTATCTTTGTGACAAATTTTTAACATGATTAATACATAATTCCCTCTCCCTCCCACAATGTCATGTAATTCACTCTAACATACTTCATTACCTTATATTACATTATCTTTGGCCCCAAGATGCAAGTCAAATAGTACAACCATGGAATTAACTCTCCTCCATAATGTTATATCATCTAGTATTGTGTTTCCATGAAGTCAATTACCAACACCATGTCAGAATGGGGGAAGTGGAGACCTCTAATTGACTCTAATTGGGGGTCACTAGGTGAGAAATAAGCAGCAGATTGTATAAGCTGTGAATGATGGGACCCATGCACACCAATGAACAACTGCACCATATTGAATTGCTGAGGATGGAGAACTCCCAGTGTGCATATCTCCTCTACTAAAACAGAATGCAAATTGTCTATGGTTTAATAGGTGAGTTCTATAGGTGGTTGCTTGAGACACAGAGAAGGAAAGTCCCTTGATCAGGGATATGGTGTGAAAGTGCCAGTGGTGGAATTCGAACCCAGGTCTTCCCAGCACTCTGGCCTCTGTTTCTCCAGAAATGAACCAATACTCTACTTACACTGAATAGCCTTGGATCCTTGGTGTGGGGGTGAAAGCCCTTCTTTTTACAAGCTGAGACCTCCAGCATCCCTGCATTGGTGAGTCGAAAGATGCCGGTACTGGAACAAGAGAAAACAGACTTATCTATGCACACACTGCTGCCCTCTTTAGAAAGTAAACTCCAGGAGGGCAGGGGCCTGTTTTCTTTGGGCTTTTTATCCTCAGTGCCTAGTCCAGTGTCTATACATAGAAAGCACTTAGTAAATGATTGAGGGCTATATCCTGCATTTACTAAGAGGTACATGTTGTGTATATTCCCAGGGGAATGGAAGCTGCCTAAAGGCAGGGACTGACTCATTTTTGTCAGTCAACAAGCATTTGTTGTGTTTGTTATTTGCCAGGCACTGTGCTGAACCCTGGGGAGAGAAAGAACGGCAAAGACAAAGTCTCTGCCTTCAGGGAGCTCAGTCTAATGATACTACAATATATAAGTAGATCCATACAAGATAGGGACTGAGTAGAAGGAAGGTAATTTCAGAGCAGGGCTAAGGGGACCCTGGGGGAAGGACCAGGGAAGCTCCTGGTTCATCTCTTTTCAAAGATGTCAGCTCAGAAGAGAGCACCCATTGTAGCCACAACCATCCATGGCTGGCAATGGTGATGTCTGCCCTAAGACCTCCAGGGGCTGCTGCCACGATTATCTGATACAGTCCAACTCAGTGAGCATTGACTCAAGCCAGGCTCTGCGTTGGGTAGAGAGGGTACAAAGACAAAATCAAAAATAGCCCCATTCCTCAAGGGGCTCCCATTCTATGGTGGGAATTAACATGCGCCGAGAGGAAAGATGCATGTGATTATTTTAGGAGGGAGAAAGCACTGACAACTAGGGAGATCAAGGAAGGCATCCTGTAGGAGGCAGCACCAGAGCTCCTTCCTTGAAGGAAATTTGGGCAGTAAGGAGGGAGTGTATTCCAGGTATGGAGGAATGGCCTGTGCAAAGACAAGGAGGTGGGAGATAGAATGGCAAGTCTGAGGGACAGCAAGGGCCAGTCTGGCTGGAACACAACGCATGAAGGGAGAAGAGGTAAAATCGGTAAGGCTGGCCAGGCGATGGACAATGAAGAGCTGCTGGCCCCCAGGGTCACAGATTTGGAGCTGGAAGGAATGTTAGAGATCACCTAGACCAACTGCTTCATTTTATAGAAAAGGAAACTGAGGCTGGGCACGGTGGAAAGAGTGCTGGGCCTGGGGTCACGAAGACCTGAGTTCAAATCTGAACTCAGACACTTACTAGCTGTGTGTCCGGGGGAAGTGTCTTAACTTCTGTTTGCCTCAGTTTCCTCATCTGTAAAATGGGTATAATAATAGCACCGACCTCTCAGGGTTGTTGTAGGATCAAAGGCGAATAATTGTAAATAATTGTAAAGCCCAGTGCCTAGCATGCAGTAGGCGCTTAATAAATGCTGTTCCTTTCCCTCCCTCCCCCTTGCCTAAGGTCAACCAGAGTAGGTGTTGGAGGCCAGATTTGAACCCAGGGCTTCCCGACTCCAAGTTCAGTCAGTGCTGTCTCAGGCATGTGCACAAAATGGAGGGGAGGGCGCAGTCCCACCCAAGCCCTTCCCTGCCTCCTGCCACCTGTGGGCCAGGCCTCGGAGCGGGTTCTGAGGTGGGGAGCCGGCCTCCATGGATGTCTCCCTGTGCCTCTCACTCCCAGACTCACTCCTTATGCTTGGGTGAGCAGACGATGGCAATGGCCTCTGGCAGCATGAGCTGGTAGGAGCAGTGCGTGTGCAGATCGACGCTGGACAAGAACGCCGTCTGCGTCGGGTGCGTCTGGGGAAAGAGACGGACAGCTTTTGCCAGAGAAAACCCCGGCTCCTTCCTCTCTGAGGCTGGGGATAGCAGCCCTTTCCTGCTTTGCATCTTTTTGCTTTGTCCCCCACCATGATTCCTCCCTTCCCTGCCCTCCAGTAGAGAAGTCCGGGCTTCCAACACAGCTCAGGGGCTCAGGAGTGCATCTGTGTAATGGGCGTCCGCAGTGCTGGTGCGGACACAGACATTTCCAGAGGCAGCCACTGGACAGAGGCGCTGCTTAGGGCTCCCCCCCACGCCCCTCCCAGCCACCCTTCTTGCTTCCTTCTTGCCTCGTTTTCCTCCCCACTTCCAGCAGGCTGGGGCTATGGAGCTGTCACTGGTCCATTGGCCATGAGTAAAGTCAGAAATTGTCACAAAACAGCCAGGGGATGAGGGGATCTGAGGGGCCAACGAGCTTTGGGGGCCCTGGGCAGGGAGCTGGGGCTTCATCGGCTGCCGGGTCCTTCTTCAGCTAGATTGCAGGGTCTCAACACCCTAAAAGTAATTCACTTCAGACACGCTCTCCCAGACCCCTGATGCTCTCTTATATACCCAGACAGGCTGAAATACACACACCAATACCTTTTCAGAGAGTCTCCACTGACATTCCCTGCTTACAGACTTCACTTTGAGGTGCAGGAGGACACAGAGCCATACGGAGGGAGGGAGGTGTGTTAGGGAGGCAGCTTCTCACTAATTTTCACAGAATGCAATGTCAGTGTGGATAGATTAGTCGAGAACAGGGTGGGGAAGCTATGGCCTTGAAGCCCCATGTGGCCTTTTAGGTCCTCAAGTGTAGCCCTTTGAATGAATCTAAACTGCACTTGAGGACCTAGAGGGCCACAGGCCTTGAGGCTGCAGGTTCCCCACCCCCGGTCAAGAAGTTGCTTTGATGAATTCAGGTGAAAATCTTGCAATTAGTGAAGCTAGGCCCTGGATGTTCATGCAATAACCCCCTCTGCTGTATTCATCATCGTTGTGGAGGGGGTACAAATTGGCCTCAAACTATTTAATTTAATATTAAATCTAATACTCAAGTATTCATTATTAGAGATTCTTATTATTAGTAGCATGGTCATTTGGACCAGGAATGTCGCTGACAGGTAATCTTTTCTTTGAGGGACAAGGCCAGCCAGAGTCTCTGGTGGTTGTTCCTTGAAGAAGTCATGCAGGACTTCTAAACAGCTTTATCTTTCACCAGCGGATGAAGGGCAAAGTCAGCTTATCTTTGCAGACAGTGGAATTCAAGGAGAAATGTCTGCATCGGAAATGCACTGGAGAGAAGTAAGGGCGGGAGTAGGCCCAGTTTTAGGAACCCACATCCTTCGGTCCGAGGATGAGAAGCACCTGACTGCAGCTCAGAATGGGCTTTCTTCAGGAACCACCACCCTCAAGGACATCGTCTCAATATATCTCAATATATGAGAACATAATCCTCAGAGAGCAGGCTGGCCTGCTGGTTCAGAGGAAGCTTCCAGTGCCTTGGAGGGATAGCTCATGGAGAATCCAGGCACTTCATTTATTCAAGTTCTTTGTCTGATGCTTATTGCCTGCGTGACCTTGGGTAGATCACTTAACTGCCCTGTGCCTCAGTTTCCTGCTCTGTAAAATAAGGAGGTTGTGCTGGATGGGCCCTGAGGTCCTTTCCAATGTTAGATGGAGGGTCCTCTGGTCCTGTGGCAGGACAAAGGTCAGTTAGCATCCCAGAATCCATAAGCTTCAGGGGTCAATTAGCCAAACTGGACCTGAATAAAAAATCCCCTCTACAGCATAAGATGTTTAATAACCCACTTTTAAAAAGTGAGAAGACGAAAAGAATACTGGGGCGGAGCCAAGACGGCGGAGGGAAAGCAGTGACTTGCTAGAGCTCTCCCCCAAACCCCTCCAAACACCTATAAAAATGGCTCTAAACAAATTCTAAAGCAGCAGAACCCACAAAAAAATAGAGTAAAACAAATTTCCAGCCCAAGACAACCTGGATGGCTGATCGGAAAGGTATATTGCACCGGGTAGGGAGAGGAGCACAGTTTGGTGTGGGCATGCAGGCCGCAGCAACCCTGGAGCAGGCCTCAGAGGGCTGAATCTCGGTCAGCTGTGACGGTTTCCAAATTTCTCAACCCACGAACACCAAAGACAACTTAGAAGGTCAGTGGGAAAAGTCTGTGACTGCAGTGAGAGAAGAAACTAGGTATCAGCCACAAGCCCCGAGTGTGGGCCACGGCTACCTCCTGAGCTCCCGGCCCACAGACTGAGGGGGAATCGAGAGGCTGATCAGAGGGGGATTGCAAGGATCTCTTTGCCAGGGCTGAGGCAGGAATCTCTTGCTTTGCCCATGCTTGGATCTGGGTCACAGTTCTGAGGGGCAGTCCTGGGGTGAGGAGGAGTGCTGGTGGAGCTTGTTGTCGCTGTGGAGAGGAAACACCTCACCCCTTATCATAGCACCTTGGAAGGACTGACACTTTTCAGGTCCCTAGAAGTATCTCTGAAAACAACTGTACAAACCCCTGAAGCTTGGGACAGTACATTCTCCACATTGGAAGCAGACTTCTACCTTAACAAAGAGTTTAAAACTCAAGTAATTGGCCAGGATCATGAGTAAGCAGTGCAAAAAGAGTCAGACTATATTATCTTACTTTGGTGACAGAGAAGATCAAAACATACAACCAGAAGAAGATAACAAAGCCAAAGCTCCTACATCCAAAACTTCCAAGAAAAATATGAATCAGTCCCAGGCCTTGGAAAAGCTCAAAAGGGATTTTGAGAAGCAAGTAAGAGAAGTAGAGGAAAAACTGGGAGTGATGCAAGAAAATCATGAAAAGCAAGTTAACAGCTTGCTAAAGGAGACCCAAAAAAAAAATACTGAAGAAAGTAACACCTTAAAAAATAGCCTAACCCAAATGGCAAAAGAGGTTCAAAAAGCCAATGAAGAAAAGAATGCCCTAAAGAGCAAACTTGGGCAAACACAAAAGGAAGTCCAAAAGGTTACTGAAGAAAATACTTCCTTAAAAATGAGAATAGAGCAATTGGAAGCTAGTGACTTTATGAGAAATCAAGACACTGTAAAACAAATCCAAAAGAATGAAAAATTAGAAAACAATGTAAAATATCTCATTGGAAAAACAACTGACCTGGAAAATAGATCCAGGAGAGAGAATTTAAAAATTATTGAACTATCTGAAAGCCATGATCAAAAAAAGAGCCTAGACATCATCTTTCAAGAAATTCTCAAGGAAAACTGCCCTGATATTTTGGAACTAGAGGGCAAAATAGAAATTGAAAGAATCCACAGATCTCCTCCTGAAAGAGATCCCCAAATGAAAACTCCTAGGAATATTGTAGCCAAATTCCAAAGTTCCCAGGTCAAGGAGAAAATATTACAAGCAGCCAGAAAGAAACAATTCAAGTATTGTGGAAACACAATCAGGATAACACAAGATTTAGCAGCTTCTACATTAAGGGACTGCAGGGCATGGAATATAATATTCCAGAGGGCAAAGGAGATAGGATTACAACCAAGAATCACCTACCCAGCAAAACTGAGTATAATTCTTCAGGGGAAAAAATGGTCATTCAGTGAAATAGAGGACTTTCAAACATTCTTGATGAAAAGACCAGAGCTGAATAGAAAATTTGACTTTCCAATACAAGACTCAAGTGGAACATGAAGAGGTAAACAGGAAAGAGAAATCATAAAAGACTTGGTAAGGTTGAACTGTTTACATTCCTGCATGGAAAGATGATATTTGTAACTCATGAGACCTTTGTCAGTATTAGGGTAGTTGGAGGCAAAAAATTATATGTATGTATGAGTGTATATATATATATATATATATATATATATATGTATGTATATATATAAACACACAGATAGATAGATAGATAGAGGGCACAGGGTGAGTTGAAGATGAAGGGGTCATATCTGGAGAATAAAATGAAGGGGTGAGAGAGGATTATACTAGGAGAAGGAGAAAGGGAAAGGTAGAATGGGGTAAATTATCTCACGAAAAAACAGAAAAGAAAAGGCTCTTACAATGGAGGGGAAATGGGGGAAGGTGAGAGGGAATGACTGAATCTTATTCTCATAGGATTTGACTTAAGGAGGGAATAACATACACACTAAATTGGGTATGGAAATCTGTCTTACCCTACAGGAAAATAGGAGGGGAAGGGGACAAGAGAGTAGGGGGATGATAGAGAGGAGGGCAGATTGGGAAAGGGGGTAATCAGAAGCAAATACTTCTGAGAAGGGACAGGGTCAAAAGAAAAAATAGAATAAATGGGGGGGCAGGATAGGATTAAGGGAAATAGAGTTAGTTTTTCACTGCATGTCTACTATGGAAGTGTTTTGCATAACTGCACATGTATAGCCTATATTGAGTTGCTTGCCTTTTCAATGAGGGTGGGTAGGGAGGGAGGAAGGGGAAAATTTGGAACCCAAAGGTTTAAAAACACATGTTTAAAAAAATGTTTTCACATGGGAAATAAGAAATATAGGAAATGGGGTACAGAAATCTATCCTGCCCTACAGGAAAATAGAAGGGAAGTGGGGGAGAGATAGCAGGGAAAGCAGACTAGGGGAAGGGGTATTCAGAATGCATGCCATCTTGGGGTGGGGGGAGGGGTGAGATGGGGTAAAAATTTGGAACTCAAAATCTTGTGGAAGTAAATGTTGAAAACTAAAACTAAAAATAAATAAAAATAAAAAAATAAAACAAACGAACAAATGAACAAACAAACAAAAAAGTGAGAAGATTTCCAATAAGGGAGAGCTCACTACCTCATGAAGCAGTTCATGGCATTGGGGAAGAGCCCATTTTTAGCAAAAGTTTTCATCCGTCAAACTGATTTTTCTGGTTATCACTGAAAAAATCCACATGGAGGCCAGTCTGGACTGACCTGGCCATCTCCATGGACGGAATGAATGAAAGAGGAAGAGCGGGTTGCCATGTTCTGGAGCAAGTCTTCAGGCAATGGGTCTCCATTTGTCAGGCATGTATGTTACAGAAGGCTCAGAATGGAGACTAGTCTCTGAGGTTTCTCCCAACTGTAAGATTCTGGGGTTCTGGAACATGACTGGGAGGAAGGTACTGTGGCCAGTATTACCCCACTCTTACAGAGAAAGAGGTTGTGAGAAGTTACGGGACTTGCCTATGGCCATTTAGCTAATAAATTTAAGGTGTGGAATTTGAACTCAGGCCTTTCTTGATGGCAAGGCTCTTACCTCTAAGAGACACTGCCTCTCCAGTATTTATATATAAGTAATTAGCATGAGAAGACAAAAGAAGATGACTGTATCTTGTCATCACATCCCCTTGGGCAAAATGGACAACTGAAGACAAGACCCTGGAAGGGGTGGGGGTGGTGGTGAAACTTACATGGATCCATCCCAGGGTGAGAAGGCTGTGCTGGTCCTGAATGAGGAACAGCTCCTCCACGTTGGCCACGTCACAGTAGTCTGGGCCGGCCGACTGCTTTGGCACGATGACGTGGGTGATTGTAAACTCATTATGTGTCTAGGAGAAGGTCAATGAGAAGGCATTCATCAGAAATCATCCTCACACCAGGAAACAAAGGAGCACTGTCTCCCTGGGGAACAGGGAAAGAACCCTGTTCCCTGCCAAGGATAGGTCCCAGCCAGGAAGTGCCCAAGGGACAGGCAGAGCCGGTGTCAACGGGCAGGGAACCAGGGAACCTCGTGCCTGAGACCCCAGGCAAAGCTTGTCATTCAAGGGGTAAGCATCCTATTTAATCCATAGCCAGGCAGCAAGACTTCCCTCCTTCTATTTCTCCCTCCCTTCCTTCCTTCCACCTTCAGGGCTATTTTATTCTATGAGATTGGTTCTGAAAGCTAAAGATTTTCATTATGGATTTCTAGCATTTCCAACCATCTCCTTGCCTTCTACAAACATTTTATTTGTGATCATATCAATAGTGATGGCAATATGACCTTTGCAACCTACACCCTGGAGGATTCTAGAGTAATCTGTGAGTCTGGCAGGGTGCAACCTAAAATTCTGGGCAGAAGTTGGCCAGAAGATGAAGTCTATGGTCTCTGACAACTGCTCAGTAGATTTATTTGATGACTGCTGGCTGAATACAGCCTGCATTCACATGTACTTTTGCTACCATATCTTGAAGTGGCCACGAAATCTTGGCATGACTGTTTTGAAGATGTGGTCTCAAAGATACAGTAAAGATATCTACGTCCTCTGTGCAAGACACCATTGAAGGTGTTGCTAAAGGTCCCAGAACATAGATCTAGCCTTGAAGGGACCTCAGACCTGGCACCATCCTTTCCCTCTCTCATCTGGGGTGGATTAGATTGCCTTCCAGATTTGTTTTAGCTCTCAATCTGACACCCTACAATTCCGTGATGTATTGAACTGCATCACTCTTGGCCTTACCACAGACAAAACCAAATGATGGGCGAGAGAGAGGGAAAACCAATGGACAGCCTGTGGGCCCCAGTGGAATCCTTGACACACCAGGAGAAATCAAGGAATGTCTCCAGCCCATTGGATTGCCCTACACCTCCCACAGGGCATCTTATGGGAAGACATGGATGAGAGTCCAGCAGAATAGGGAGACAGGGATGGAGAGTGATCTGGGTGCTGAGAGGGAGTGTGTGCACTGGGGTAATCCCAGACCCCTTGGAGGGCCAGAGGAACAATCGTGAGAACAATCAGATAAGGGAATCAGTGAGGAGTGCTTAGAGGATTATTGATATGTCAGCATTCATTCTCATCCTTGGTGGTGGCAGCACACTTTGCCACAGTAGAGCCCAAGACCCTGCCTGCAGAGGAAAGGCTGAAGTGCACGTACCAGTTTTCCACAGAGAATTCCACAGGTTTCTATGCCCCTCACTGTGTTTGACTCAGCCAAGAGCAGGAATCGGTGACAAAGATCCCTGGGCAGCAGGACACATCGCAGGTCCTCCACCAGCAGGTCTGAAAAAGATAAGGAGAGACCAGGAGCTCAAAGTCAGGCCCATTCTTTGTCCTGGAACATTCCTGGAGCAGAGCACATGGAGTGAGCACCCAGGCAAAGCCCGATCCCCTTTGCTGCTGGAGCTTATTTTGTGTTAAAGATGGCACAGAGCTAAGAGCTAAGGCCAAGGATGCTGGAAAAGCAAGAGCCTTGCTGGGACTCAAATCACCCCAATGCAACAAAGCACGTGTTAAGTGTTCACTATCCCCAGCCCATGATGCCAAGCACAGGAAGAGACAAAAAACAGTCCTTCCCTCAAGGAATTTATTTTCTACTGGGGGGTACAACAGTTAAGTAACTAAGAAAATAGGTCATTTGGAGAGGGAGAGCATACTGATGGGTAGGGGCAACAGGAAAGTCTTCCTGTAGGAAGTGGTCCATGAGCTGAGCCTTGAAGAGTGTGAAGGGTTCTAAGAAACAGAGATGAAAAGAGGGTGTATTTCAGACATGTGAAGACAGGAAATAGAATGCCCTACATGGGGACCAAAAAATGGGCCAGTGGGGACAGAACGTGGAGAGAAGTAATGGGAAATAAGGCTAGAAAGGTAGGGCAGAGCCAGACTCAAGTAAAAAGCATTGAATTTAAAAGTATTTCCATGCCCATTGGTCATTATGGAGATTCCAGTCCATAACATGATAAATGACAATCCTTGAAAGATCACCACCATATATAATAACTGCTTATTATTAAAGGGTCAGTTTACACCCATGGTTTCAAACTCAAATGAATATGGGAGCTATTAAACCACACCTAAGGATCCCTGCCACCACACACTGACTTAGAAAACCACATATTAACATTATTTGTGTCCTATTGTATTTGTATTTGTTTTGTTAAATATTTCCCAATTATATTTTAATCTGGCTGGTGTTTGACGCCTCAGGTGTATACTATGGAAAGTAAGGTTACATTTGAAAAGGGCTCCCGAAAATTCTTCCAGAAGACACCCAATTCCCACCCAAAGGCTCAGAAGTATGGCGCCAATGGCCAAGCTGGACGCAGGCCAGGAATGTCCCATCACTTACTCTGGACAGCGCTCAGAGTGGCAGCTGGCTTCAACGCTCTGTTCACCGGCGGTGACTGGCCAGCATATGCGGGAGCACCGCTTTTAGGAGCTTGATCCAAAAAAACATTGAGGGAGGGTCTGTTCTGGTGAGGGGAGAAGCAAGACAGGGCGTTGCCATCGATCTGCTCGGCCAGCACCGGGGCCTCCTGGCTGCGCAGCTGGTCTCTGGCCAGCTCTTGCTTCCTGAGCTGGTCTTCGAAGAAGTGGAACTGTTCCGTTTCCAGCTGCTGCCGCCGCATCTGCGCGATTCGCTGCTTCTCCGCCTCAATCAGTCGCTGGTGCTCCAGCTTCCTCAGGACGTCCGCTTTGTGTTTGTTCTGAAACAAAAGCTTGTAAGCCAGCGCTTTCCTCAGCAGGTGCTCCCAACTGCAAAGGCTGTACCAGGGCAAATGGGCACCCAAGGTTCTTTTATGCAAGAAGGGGCACAGCCGGGCACTCCTAAGGGGTCACAAAGCTCCTCAGAAACACTCTGCGAAGCATTTCCAAATCCCCATGTTATCAGAGGTGTGTGCCAGCAATATGCGTTTAGATCTGGAAGGGAACGAGCCTAACCTTGCTTCATTTTACAGATGAGGAAACTGAGAGAGAGAATGAGGAAGTGCTCTGCCTAGAATTACAAAGGGATCGAGTAGCAAAGCTGAGGTTTGAACCCAGAGCCCTGAGTGCGGATGGAGCTTTCTTCACCCAGGGGCTGACCTGAGGAGGGCTGCCCAGCCAGCGATATATGAGGACGCAGGGCTATCCCTCTGCCAGCACATCCCTTTGTCAGCCTTCTCTTCCAAGACCACCTTGGGTTGACTGTCTGTGGATCTTGTAGGAACCCAGTAATGTGCACGTTTCCCATTAGAACACAAGCTCCTTCAGGGCACGGACTGTTTCTGATTTTTCTTTGTATTCTTGGCACTCATCACCGAGGCAGGCATGCTGTAAGCGCTTAATAAATGTTTTTTTGATTGACTGACTTTTCTCTGGCTTTCTTACTACTCCAAACATAGTGTTGGAATGCAGGAAGTCATATCACAAAGCTCTAGATCTGAGATTTACAGGCAGTTTGGTGCCACAGTGAATACAGCCTTGGAGTCAATGAATTTAACATTTATTGAGTGCCTACTATGTGCTAGGCTATGTGTTAAGTGATAGGGACACATAAAGAGGCAAAAGACAGTTTCTACCCTCAAGAAGCTTATAATCTAATGGGAAAGAAAACATGAAGACATATATATATATATATATATATATATATATATATATCAAGCTATATACAATAATTAACAGAAGAAGGCAAGAGGGGTTGGGGAAAGCTTCCTGTAGAAGGTAGGATTTTAGTTGGGACTTAAAGGAAGCCAGGGAGGTCAGTAGGCAGAGTGGAGGAGACAGTGTTCTACATCCGGAGGTCAAAAATGTCCAGAGCTGAGAGATAGTGTATTGCTTGTGGAACAACCAGGAGACCAGTGTCAGGATCAAGAAGATCTGAGTTCGAATCTTGCCTCAGATACTTACTAGGCATGTGATTTGGGGTAAAGCTCTTAACCGCTTTCTGCCTCAGTTTCCTCAACTGCAAAATGCAAAATCATAATAACACCTACCTCCAGGGTTGTTTTGAGGATCAAATGAGGTAATATTTGTAAAGTGTTCAGCACAGTGTATGGCACACGGTAACCATTTTACAATGAAATTTAAATTTTGAACTAGAAGGACTCTGGAGGACATCAGGCCTGATGGACATCCTTGTCCAGATGGGAGCCTGAAGCCCAGGGAGAGCTTTGGGAAGTGACTTGGTCAGGTCATACAATAGTAAGACAGGGGCAGGATATGAACCTGGATCCTCAGACTCAAAGCCAAGCCTTCTCTCAATGTACTCTGTGACCTCAGTGACCTTCCCCCTGGTGTCTGTTAGGGCAGTCTGGTTTCTCTTCCCTCCAGAGTTCAGGCCCCATCACTTTTCTCCTGGACTCTCTAGTCTCCTAATTGGTCTCCCTGTCTCTGGTTCCTTCTCCCTGCTTCTTCTCCCCACATCTACCACAGTGATTGTCCAAGTACAGGTCTGATCACGCTACGCCTTCCACCCCTCCACCTCAACAAACTCCAATGGCTCCCTATTACCCACAGGATCAGATAGAAACTTGTCCTTGCGGCATTCAAAGCTCTGTAGGATCTGGCCCCAACTTGACCTTTCCAACCTTATTACTCATTACTTGTGCTCACACACACTCTGGTCCAGCCATACTGGCTCACTTTGCTGTTCCCCACCTATGATGCTTTATCTCCATCTCCACCTCCATGTTTTTGTTTGGTATCCCTCCTACCTGGAATGTACTTTCTCCTTCTCTCCACCTCTCAGAATCTCAGCTTCCTTCAATAGTCAACTCTAGGGCCAGTTTCTACATGGAATCTTACCTGTTGCTAGTGCCTTCTCCCCTCCCCCTCCGCTATCTTATATATTCAATTTTGTGTATGACTACATATGCATACATTTACCTCCCTGATGGAATATAAGTCCTCTGAGGTCAGGGACTATTTTGCTTTTTTACTTTTAAGCAAACCACCTTGCACATAGTAGGTGTTTAATAAATGCTTGTTAATTGGGTTGACTATGTCCAGGAAGGGTTGGACAACCATTTCCAAAGTCAATACCAATGGGGTACCATGCAATAACGACGTTCAGGAGCCATGATAAAGCCAAAGAGACAAGCAAAAAACATGACTTTGGAAAAATGGGAGAGAAAATGAGTGGATTCATGCTCTGGGGTCTGGGCATGGGCCATTCTCTTTCATTCTCTGTTTGGGGCCAGGCTTCTTCCTAGAGAAGGATCTGCAAGATGCCTCACCTCCCGGCTGGAAGGGACGATTTCCAGCAGAACTTGTCGAGTAGCCACGAGACCCCAGATTCAAAGTGATAAAAGAGGGCACAGTGCCCAACCTTTGGGGCCGCTCTTGTTGAGTCCTGACCCACCAGTGGCCCAAGCCAAGATTCAGAGCCTCACCCTCTGACCCAAGGTCTGCCAGGGACTGTCCCCTCCTCTCCACTGACCCTCGAGCTGCGTCTCCTCGGCTGGCCAAGAGCTTCCATCTGTACCCTGTGAAGTGGGTATACTCAAGGCACAGAGCCCACTTTAAATCAGGGCCAGAAATCCATCTTCTAACACTTTGCTTTATTAGCTGCAGCAGAGAAGTGGAGAGACCACAGGCTGGCGGAAATGCTCTGCCTTGAGAATTAGGGGCATGAATTTTTCATCGACTTTGACATCATCATGGCGTTAATTTTTCATCAGAATGCCTAGTACATTTGAGAGACGCATCACACAGAAATGAGACTGAAAGAAATATTCAAAGTCAATGAACAACACAGTTGCCCGACTTACTTTGCTTTGCAAGCATTCTTGGTATTCCGCATTATATTTCTTTAAAAGATCCTTTTTCAATTCATCTGTCCTTGGGAAGGCAATATCCTTCAGTTTCTTTTAAAAAAAACATATACAGATTGATTAGTGGGGGTTTGAGGAAGATACTTTCAGATCAACAGCTGGGGAGCTGAATGAGTCAAGGAACACCAAAGCAAATGGAAAAATGCAAAATAAATCTGTCTTTCTTAAGGATCATAAATTGAGAGTTAGAAGAGAGCCCTGAGTCTAAATTCCTTTTTGTACAGAGGAGGAAACTGAGGCCCAGCAGGTCAGGAGACCTAGGATCCCAGGATGCCAGGGTCTGTAGTCCTGAAGGGACCACAGAGGTCATTTTAAAGTCTCAGATAGATTGAGACTTCTCCAAGGTCACAAGCCAATGAAGCACCAGAGTTAGGATTTGAACACAGGACCCTGGACTCCAAGTTAAGCAGGTGCTCTCCATGGCACTTCTCCCACAGGTAGTGAGGGGCAGAGACAAGATTCAGGCCTGGGGTGTTTGGTTCCCAATACAAGGCTCTCAACTCTATTTGAAAATGTTTAGACAAGGGAACTTGGGGGTAGTGGGATGGAGAGTCTCAACTCAAGTTTTCATTGGTTTCAGGAACTGACGAGGAAACTCCTTTCACTGATGGAGGTCAGCAAATTCCTGGGGATGCTGAAATGAGTTGTCTCGGGTCACAAAGCCTATAAGCTGTGTTAAAGGCAGAACTCAAATCCAGGCCAGCTCTTTACCCACTAGGCCACACTGCTTCTCCTCAGAGTAAATAATTACCATTTCTCTCAAAGGCAATGGCCCCTGGAGAAAGTCCATCTGGGCTGGACTGAAGAGCAGCCATCAACAGGACCTCCTGATTTGGAAGGAAAACATGATACTTATTCTATGTGAAGTGCCAGTGGCTGGCTAAGGCACAGAGCTTCCACCTCTTTCAAAGAGAACAACTTGGAAAGAATTTAAGAGAACAGCAAAAATAAACCGGGAGAAGCTATTTAATATTTACGCTTAGGACCAGACTGGCCAGAGTTGGCCTTGGAAGTCTTGGCCTCAAGTCCCGTATCTGACACATGCACACCGGCCATGTGACGCTGGGCAAGTCAGTCGACGTCTCAGTGTCCCAGAGTCATGCTCTAAGACTATAAATGCAGAGAAAGTTAGAAGGGTTTCCTCTTTTGGGTGCTCTGAATACCAAGGACAGGCCCAGGCTCTCCCTTCCTCAGCCGCTCCTGGATTCCTTGAAGACTCAGTTCCACTCTGTCCTTCTACAGTAAACCTTTCTGGGTCTGTCCCCAGACCCCCACCCACTCTCATCAGATCTGCTCCCACCTTCTGCAGGAAGCCTTTCTAGGTCTGTGCCCAGCCCCTCACCCACTCTCATCAGATCTGCTCCCACTTTCCGCAGAAGACATTTCTGGGTCTGTCCCCAGACCCCCACACACTCCCATCAGACCCTTCCGTTGGACATGACCTGTCCACATCTCGTCTGCACCTTGTGATTGGCACATGGGACTGTTTTTCTTCTCCATGTCTGTACCCCCAGTGCTTGGCACATAGTAAGTATGTGCTTAATAACTAAATGCTTGCCTCCTGGCTCTTCTAGGGCGGGCAAGGCCTAATAGATAGAACAATGGGCCTGGGTCCAAATCCCATCTTCCATCCTTTCTCGGACCTGAGCAGATCATTGCATGTCTGACCCTCGGGTAGCACAGGGAGACTTATCTCCTGGGTTAGAAAGTGCTGGCATGGGCAATGTGGAGAGTGTTGAGACGCTGATGGGATCATATGTGCTTGAGGTGGTGACCTACGTACTACAGGAATTTCAGGGTGTATGTCCAGTGATTTTCACAATAAAACAAATTTCGACTTTGACCCTTGGAGTGCCAGGATGTGGCTGTGTGGGAGCTCTCTCTACCAGCCCACGCCACAAGCCCTCCAAACCTCACAAGTCAGGCTTTTTGACTAGTTGTGCTGAAAAACACGGATCCCCTGGTGGCCACTGTCATGGTGATGAGCACCTAGGGGCCTAGAGGGCTGATCCCAAGCACATTTAGAGTTAGGTCCATCACTGAGCCCACCCTTAAACCTCATGAGACCCACCAGAGCTTGGGCTCCCAAGCAGGGCCTAGTACGGGGTCAGCCGAGCACCGCAATGAGCCACTGGAGAAGTAAAATTCCCTAGACTCACCGCCACACTCTTCCTCCCCATCTGGAGCACCCCATCCCTTCCCCCTTCTCCTTCCAGCTCTAAAGCCAGGTCCACACGGGTGAAAATGCTTGACTTGGGCACACACACCGAATTTTTACAGCTGCCTTAACAATCAGAGTGGTGCCCACCCCCACCCTCGCAAGGGATGGGGCCGAAGCTGCAGTACAAGAGTGCTGGGCTTGGTCCCTTGCTCATGGAGTGTGTCTCAGGCTCATTCTCTCTGAGAAGAAATGAGTGGAAGGACAGCTTTCCCACTATCTAGCGACTGACAAGGTGGCCGCATGTCAGCGGCCTCAGTGTGGTTAGTGTCAGTGAAACCCCCTCCCCACCATGACCAGTAATGGTGATGGAGTGGCCAAATAGAAATCTAAATGACTGAAGGCTGGGGCACAGGGGTGCTGGGAGGGGAGAGGGGAAGGGGAGCCCGATGCCCGGCAGGGCAGCCCCTGGTACCTTCATGATATCTTGTTTTTCTGGGATTGCACACTGCTGATAGTCTCTGTGGCTGGGCAGCTTCTCCACAAAGAGGCTGCAAGAGGAAAGAAGAATGCTTTACATGGCAACAGAAGATGTACCGTGTCTGTGAGGAAAGGAAGAAGTGTCTTTTCATACATGAAATGCTTAATTCATTCCTGCTCCCACCTGGTTTTCCTCTACTGGGTTTGCTGAGGCATTGGACTAGTAAGCTCCAATCCAAGGTCATGGACTGGGCGCTGGCATGAGCCAGAGGCAGTGTGGTTCAGTGGGTAGAGTCCTAGTTTGGGGGCCTCCGACATCGTTCCTCTCACCCCCAGGCTGAGGTTCTAACTTTTCTACTTCCTCAGGAATGCACAGAACAGAGAAGCCAAGAAGGTCGTATCAACATGTGATTTCTGCCTCAGAAATCCTAAAGGGTTGGAAAAGGGCCACTACCTGAGGCAATGGGTGGGAATGCCTCCTTGCTTCACATTTATGAGATAATGCCTAGAAAACAGAAAGCCCGTCCACAGCCAGGGAATGCCATCTGCCAGGCTCGTAGAGAAACCCCTTTAGCAGCTGAGACCAGAGGGAAGCAAGAGGGGGGCGAGCCCCTCTTGGGAGTTGGGAATAAGGCTGCTTGCTTTTCTGCCCTTGCTAAATAACTCACCTAGCTCCTTTATTAAGCCTCCTTCCCAGTCTGTGAGCTCCCAGAAGACCAGCACAAAATAGGAGCCCAAAGCAACAGATGAGCCTGAGCTCCAGAGACAGTGGAGAAGTCAGCCCTTATAATGAGGCTTCCTCCCAGCAATGGCAGGAACCCAGCCGGGCCGTGGCACTGCCCCACGTTAGCCCAATACATCCGCAGAACATGTTGTTAACATAACGTGGAATGGAGGCAACGTAGCCAGAGGAAACAGACTCAGAGATGTTGAGCGATGTGCCTCTGGTCACACGGCAATGTCGGAGGCAGCTTCTGACCTCATCTTCCTGAACCCACACCCATCTGCTATGCCACCCACTGGCTCCCATCCTCTGGCTATGTGACACTGGGCAAGTCACCCAGCCTTTTAAAATCTCACTTACTAGCTATGTGACCTTGGGCAAGTCACTTATCCCTTGTTTGCCTCAGTTTCCTCATCAGTAAAATGGGGGTAATAATAGCATCTACCTCGCAGGGCTGTTGTTAAGAGAATAGGAAAAGTACTTCATAAACCTCAAAGTGCAATATGAATGCTAGCTATTATCATTATCGTTACTGTTGTTGTTCGGTTTTATCTATGGTTCCAGAGGGCATACATCACTTGTCCCAGAGCTACTGAGCGTCAGAGGCAGGATAGGACTCCAGGACATCAATAAATCCATCAACCAGCATTTATTAAGCTTTGACGATGTGTCCGAGAAACAAAGACAAAATGACGCTGTTCCTGCCCTCGAGCAGCTTACATTCCATTCTTCCAAGACCAGCATTCTATACATGGAGCTCAGTTACCTCCCATCACGTAATCCACCTGCTGCCCCACGGCACACCGGCCGCTTTTAACCATGAGAAAGTGGATGGAGGTCCCAGACTGGGTCAGGGGCCCTCCCAAGGTTACACAGTTAACCAGTGAGATGCCGCGCTGGACCCTGCCCTCCCCCTCTGTCTCCTTACTCCCAGCCCAATGTGTTATGGGATAAGCGCAAAAGACTTACGTTATAAACTTATTATAGAGGACAAAGGCATTTTCCAAGTTTCCTTCCTCCAGGTACACCGATGCCATTCTCTCCATCTCCACCCCAGATCGGAAATAGCGGCGGGGAGTGATGTCTTCGTTGATGGTGATGTTGCATCCCAGCTTGCTCAAGGCCCGGACCCGTTCCTCGGGACTCAGGGACACATCTGTGTGGTCAGGCCCGGCAGCTAACTTTTTCTGCAAAGCAATGTGGGAAGCACAGCTAGCGAGCATCCAGGAAGGATGCTCTCCTGACCTTCTCCCTGGTGAGGCAGGATGGGAGACTCAACCCTGGAATGGAGCTTGGGGGTCGGACCACCCAGCTCTAACAAAGGACCACAGATCTCCAGCTGGAATGGACCTTGGAGGCCTCTAGTTCAAGGTCATGCAGGTATAAAATAGAAAGCCAGGATCTCAACCCTGCTTCTCTGACTCCAAGCCCAGGGCACTTTCTACTAATGTCTCCACCAGAGGGGCACTGTTAGTGGTGGTTGAAGTGGGAAATGTGTGTGCTCTATTTTAAAAATCCCGTTCCTTTCTATGCCACAGCCAAGTGTCCAGGTATATAATCCAATCCCATCCAACCCAATTCAATAATCTTTAGTATAATTAAATAATGATAATAATTCAATGAATTCTTAGTAAAGGCTTATGGCTTCACTAAGAATTCACTTTGTGTAAGGATGATACTCTGGCCCCAAAGGTTCAAAGACAAAAGTGAAACAGCCCCTGCCCTCCAGAAGCTTACTTTCCAAAGGAATCAAAGTCATAACCAGGAATTATTACAACCAAGCCAAGACACTGGGGAGGAGGTGACATGGAAGACTATCTGCATGGGGCTGGGTCACCCCAGTGTCTAGCTCAGCTAACAGTCCCCAACCTTTCGATCCCCATGAGGAGGGAGAGGCAGGTCGGGGATTCCAGAAGCATGAAAAGGTGAACCCTGGATGAGGGGGCTCTGTGGCAATGGGACCCAGGCATTGGTATCCTGGAGCCACATGAGAGATAAGGAGTAGGTTGTGTGGGGAGTGAGTGCTACTCCCCAATGTTTATTCTCTGGTACAAAGCCCCAGTTGCCAACCCTGGTTAAACCTGACTGGCACATCCAAAAGTCTATCCCAGGAGAAGATAAATACAATGCCTAAGAGCTCCAGAGGATTCACTAAATATTTACTAAATACCTCTTATGAGTCTTACTAAGTGGGATCCAGGAAGGGTTCTTTCCTTGGGTCCATCCCTTTGACCTAAATCCCTCAGTTTACTGAGTCGCCAAGTGCTATAACATGGAGCTAGAAAGTCCTAGGTTTAAATCTCACTTCTGATATTTCCTAATTCTGTGTGACCAAGGCCAAGGCATCTAATCTCTTTGAGGTTCAGTTTCCTTATCTGCAAAGTGGGGGTGTCTTATCTCACAGGGTGTTGGGAGGCAAGAATGAGATTAAGATACACGTGTAAAGTACTCTCTAAGCTTTAACAGATCAATGCAGTGCATATCATCATTCCTGTGACTGTTCTTATCTGCACACCCACTGGAATTCTTTGAAAGAATTATGCCATCAGAGCCTCGGTAGGGGATCCCTGGACCAGAGAGTTAAAGTGAGAAGGGAGGGACTTCAGAACTTCCCCCTTTTCAGAGAAGAGGAAACCGTCCCAGAGAGTTTGGGACTTGCCCAAAGTCATAGTAACTGGCTGAGCTAGGATTTGAACCTGGGTCCTCTGGCCCCAAATTTATTGCTCTTTCCATGACACACTGCTGCCTCTACCTAAGCACCCAGGCGGCACAGTGGAGAGAGCACTGGACCTGGAATCAGGAAGCTCTGAGAATCAAATCTAGCCTCAGGCACTTCCTAGCTGTGTGACCCTAGGTAAGTTACTTCACCTCTGTCTGCCTCAGTTTCCTCATCTGTAAAATAGGGATGATAAGAGCATCTACCTCACAGGCTTGTTGTGAGGATATTTACATAGTGCTCAGTACAGAGCCTGGCAGGGAGCAGGTGTCTAATAAACGTAATTTCCTTCCTTCTTCTCTGTTCTCTGTGACGCCCCCATCCTTAAATGTCAGCACCCCACAATCCTTCCTGTTTGGGGAGCCTCAAACACTGCTGAAACGAGCCTCCCTAATGCACTAGAACCTTCTCCTCTTACATTTGTAGGGGACTTGAAGGGAACTGAGCAAACACATGTGTACAGTTCGCCTTTTCATCCTCTCCTCCCCCGATGGCTTCCAGACGTAAAACCCACTTTATTTCAGGTCAACGAGCCTGTAGTAAATGCCTACTACGTGCCAACCATGCACTGTATCAGGGGATGCTGAGACAAGAAGGAAGGCATGTCTGCTGCCCGCCTCCTGGCAGACGGGCGATGGACTCAGGGCACAGAAGGTGCCATCCATTTTTGGGCCATTGGCCACGTGGAGAATTGTGGTGCTTGACTAGGCATATTTGTTGCAAGTTTATTTAGGGGGGTCAAGGGGAAGAGGAAGGGATAAAACACAGATTTTTGATCATTGAAAAGAATAAAATTAAATAAAAAAAAACCAATAGCCTCTGTTCTCAAGAAGTTTATTTTTTAGTCCTAAGTAGGAATTCTTTATCATTTGAGGCATTGCAATAACCTGAGAAATGAGTAATGTGGATATTATTATCCCCATTTTACAGAAGAGGAAGTTGAGGCTGAGAATGAAGGTGGCTTATTGAGGGTCATACCACTATCAAGAACCAGAGGTAAGATTCAAACCCAGGTTTCTCCTGACTACAAATCTTTCCGCTACGCCTCTCTGCCTCTTACCAAGCTCTAAATTAAGAAGCTTCCTTTTTTCACCCAACACCCTCATCTAAGCTTGCAGGCTGGGTATGGTAGGAAGTCAGTCATCCTTCAAAGAGAAACTAGAAATTCAATAAAAATTGAGGCATTTTCTGAGAGGAGAAATGAACCTGAGTCAACCCAGGTTTGTCTTGGGCAGGGGCACCATAACAATGCTTGTTATGTTTCTGACATGGTGCTAAGAACTGGACTTTCCCACTGAAAGATTCCAGGCCCCACCATGGGCTGAGGAACAGCCAAAGTGGTCTGTGGATTGCTGGGCCCCTTGGGCGGATGCCTCCAGACAGTCTTAACCTTCCACACATGACTCATCTTATGCCATTGGACCCAATGACAAGAGAGCCCAGCGCTCACTTGCTACCCAACAGAAGCCTGTTCTACCCAAAGTGCCCCCAAAAAGGCCGTCCTCCCATGATGAGCCAGACTCATGCAAAATGCAGGCGTGTGCAGAGGAGCCCTGATATTTTTAGGCCTGATGAGGTGGCAGCAATATTCATCACTTCCTCAAAGGAGGAGATGAGGAGGGTGCCAGGTGGCTGCAGAGAGGCCCTCTGTTAGGCAACCCCAAGTGTGGTCCACAGCCATGGTCTGAGCTTTTGTATAGTGAGTGAGTGTGTATGTAAGAGAGAGAAAGAGAATGTGTGTGTGTACGTATAAGTGTTTTTGTGAATATGTGAGAGCATGTGAGTATATGTGAGTGTGTATGTGTGAGAGCATGTGAGTATATGCATGTGAGTGTGAGTGTATATAAGCACATATGTGAGTATCTGTGAGAAAAAAAGAGAATATGTGTGAGCATGTGTGTGTATGTTTGTGAGTAAGAAAGAGAATGTGAGTGTATGTGTGAGTGTGTGAGAGAGTATGAGTATATGTGAGTGTGTGTATGTGAGAGTATGTGAGTATATGTGTGAGTGTGAGTGTATGTGACAGTATGCGTATATAAGTGTTTATGAGTGTGTGAGAGCATGCAAGTATATGTGAACATGTGAGCGTATGTATGTATGAGAGTATCTGAGTAAATGTGTGTGAGTGTGTATGAGCATATATGTGAGTATATGTGTGAGTGTAAGTGTGTGTGGGGTCACCTTTTTAAAAAGGACATAATGAGCATCAGCTGGTGACATACCAGAGAATTCACAGTCAAAGGCTGATCCATGGTGGTCTGTCTGTCTGCAACTGAAGATCTTCAATGTTCCTTCTCAGTCTCTGCATCTGTTGACAAAAGACAAAACCAGCGGGGAAATCAGTCCATGATTGGGCATGAACTCAACTCAGCCAACATTTCTGAAGGGAGGGTCTGCTCAACACCGGGTTCTGTGCTGCATGCTGGAGAGAGAGAAGGCAAAATGTAACCAGCCCCTGGCCTCAAGGAGTTCCCATTCTCATCTAGAAAGTTGGTCAGCCAGCACAAAGTTGCATTGGTGGTTGATTTATTTCTATTGCTGTGGACTTCCCTGACATTTATGAATTAATGCAAGCAGTCACCTGATGCAGTCTGGAGGGAAGGACAGAGAACTGGTCTGGGAGTCCAGAACCCCAAGACAACTGTGGATACTTAGAGGAGAGAGAGGCTGACCACCATGCCTGGGCTGGTCTGAGAAGATTTCCTGAAGATGGAGAGCAGGAGGGCTGGATTTGAGCTGGGCCTCAAAGGAAGGGTGGGATCAGGCTGAACACAGGGGAGGACAGGAGGAGAGACGCCATTATAGCAGAGGGGTACAGCCTGAGAAAGGGCCCAGAGGCCAGAACGGCCAGCGTGCAAGGATTCCTGTCTGCACCCTCCAGCCCAACCGGCTTGTGCAACCTAAAAATAGCCTTTGGGCCTCAGAAGCAAAGCTGACTCAGGTCTGTGAGCTCAGGAAACCCAGCCAAGGAGAGGCCTCCATTTACTCTGCAGCTGAAAACCTGCTAATCTTTCCAGCCTCACTGAATGCAGGCAGGCAGGTTTGGGGAAGTAAGACTTCTCAGAGAGAGGAAGGAAAAGAAGGGGGGAAAGGTCAATTATCAGGAGATCCGCAGGCAAGTCCCTGCTAGTGGAAGCACATGTGCGCTCTATGGCAGAAGCTAAACGAGTTACCTTCCCTCTCTCCCCCTCCCTCCCTTCTTCCTTCCATCCATCCTTCCTTCCTCCCTTCTTTCCTTTCTTCTCTCTTTCCTTCCTTCTTTTTCTCCCTCCCTTCTTCCTTCCTTCCTTCCTCCCTCCCTTCCTTCCCTCCCTCCTTCCTTCCCTCCCTCCTTTCTTCTCTCTTTCCTTCCTTCCTTCTCTCCCTCCTTCTTTCCTTCCCTCCCTCCCTCCTTCTTTCTCTCTTTCCTTCCTTCTCTCTTTCCTTCCTTCTTTTCCTCCCTCCCTTTTTCC